CCTTTAGGATTGACTGGTTTGATCCCCTTGCAGTCCAAGGGACTCTCAAGTGTCTTCTCCAGCACCACAGTTTGAAAACATCAATTCTTCAGTGCTCGGCCTTCTTTATGGTCCAGCTCTCACATCCGTATGGTCCAGCTCTCACATCAGTACATGACTACTGGAAAAACCATAGCTTTGACTATATGGACCTTTGTTGGCCAAGTGATGTCTCTACTTTTTAATATGCTGTCTAGGTTTATCATAGGTTTCTTTTCAAAGAGTAGGCATCTTTTAATTTCACGGCTGCAGTCACCGTCTGCAGTGATTTTGGAGCCCAAGAAAAAAAGTCCGTCACTGCTTTCATTGTTTCCCCATGTATCTTCTATGAAGTGATAGGACCAGATGCCATGATCTTAGTTTTTTAAATGTTGACTTTTAAGCCAGTCTTTTCACTCTCTTCACCTACACTTCAAGAGGCTCTTTAGTTCCTCTTCTCTTTCTGCCATAAGGGTGGTATCATCTGCATATCTGAAGTTATTGATACTTCTCCCGGCAGTGTTACTTCCAGCTTGTGCTTCATTCGGCCCGCCATGTAACATGATGTACTCTGCATATCAGTTAAATAAGCAGGGTGACAATATACAGCCTTGATGTACTCCTTTCCCAATTTTGAACCAGTCTGTTGTTCTATGTCTGGTTCTAACTGTTGCTACTTGACTTGCATACAGGTTTCTCAGGAGGCAGGAAAGGTGTTCTGGTATTGCCATCTCTTTAAGAATTTTCCACAATTTGTTGTGATCCACCCTTTTGCTTTAAATTAAATAAAAATCTATATTAAAATTTCAAAGGATACATGTCAAACTATTAACAATGATTCTCTCTCAAGGGTGATATTATAGAGAAAGTTTCACTTTCGCTAGATTGTTGGAATAATGTATTATGAGAAAAATATAGACATTATAATACAGCAAAGAGGTTAATATCCTATTGTTACTAATTAAATGAGTGGCAATAATTCATTGAGCAACAAAAGGTACAGCGAGGGGTCCTCCTGGGAAGATTGGTACATTGTCAGAAACAACTGTTATATACTCAAAACCCCCAAAGATTTCTCCATTTCACCTTCTAAAGTAGGGTGTGCTATTTTGTGGGTGAAAGAAACGAAAGTTTCAAATGATCCCTGACTCTTCAAATGCCCTTGAAAGCACCTGCTCTTAGTCACATGGTATTGTTGGTCTCTGATGCTGCTGCTTGCTGCTAAGTCGCTTCAGTTGTGTACGACTCTGTACGACCCCATAGGTGGCAGCCCACCAGGCTCCCCTGTCCCTGGGATTCTCCAAGCAAGAATACTGGAGTGGGTTGCCATTTCCTTCTCCAGTGCATGAAAATGAAAAATGAAAGTGAAAAGTGAAAGTAAAGTCGCTCAGTCATGTCCTACTCCTAGTGACCCCAAGGACTGTGGCTTACAAGTCTCCTCCATCCACAGGGTTTTCCAGGCAAGAGTACTGGAGTGGGTTGCCATTGCCTTCTCCATTGTTGGCTTCTAACCATCAATTAATAATTTTACATTTGACTGAAGGAACCTAGAATATCTTAAAAGGCAAGTTGAAAAATTACAATGGCAAATTACAACACACTAAAGCAGTGTTTTCCAGATGGTAGGTTATGATCCATGAATGAGTCATTGAAATAATGTTGTAGGTTACAATCAAATTAAAAAAAAAACAACAGAAAAAACAACAACAAATACAATGGATTTAAATAGAAAAGTTTACTAGGTCTGGATGAAAAATTTATTTATGAGGGTTGTGGTCAACAAACTTGCATTATACACTTTAAGAAAATATATATTTTTTTTAAGAAAATATATTCTTATACAAGGTCAGGGTTAGAAGAGTCCTTATTTGATAATTTAAGATTAAACTTGTTTTTAACATTGTGTGTGTGTGCTCAGTCATGTCTGATTCTTTGGGACCCAAAGGACTGTAGCCCACCAGGCTTCTCTGTCCATGGCATTTTCCAGGCAAGAATACGGGAGTGGGTTGCCATTTCCTACTCCAGGGAATCTTCCCCAACCAGGCCTGAGTCTCTTCAATCTCCTGCATTGACAGGAGGATTGTTTATCACTGTCCACCTGGAATGCCCCTTTTAACATCATATCCTTTGATATTTCAATTTAAGTTCATTTTCAATCTCCTATGTATTTGAAAATCATTAACACTGAAGAATTAAACTTGATAGACTTTAGAAGTCAAACAACCGAAGACACATTGACCTATTCTGTGATAACTGAAAAAATAATAATACAGATTAGACCATCACATTCTGTTTTACTGATACAAAGCATTATTTTAAGGGACTTAAATTTATGCGTCCTCATATTTCCCCTTTATAACAATCCTATAAAGAAATTAGTTATTTTTGCCTTAATCCAAATCAGATTATAACATGTATCACAAATTGTTAACACAAATTAACATTTTGCAGTATTATATAATTGAGAATTTTAATATACCAATGCCATCTAGTGGTTATTCTCAACACATTTCCTTTCTCTTGGGTATATACCCAAAAGTGGAATTGTTCTTCTGTGTGTAGACATCCAGTAGCTGGTAATTATGTTTTAACTTTTGGAGGAACTGCAAAACTGTTTTCTAAAGTGGCTGTGCTATTTTACATTCCCACCAGCAATGTTTGAGGGTTTCAACTACTTTACATCTTGGCCAACACAATATTTTCCATCTTTTTTTTTTTTTTTTTGGCTGTACCAGGTGGCATGCAGGATCTTAGTTCCCTCACCAGGGATGGAACCCATGCCTCCTGCAGTGGAAGTGAGGAATCTTAACCACAGAACTGCCAGGAAAGTTGCTCCATCTTTTCTATTACAGATATCCTAGTAGGTGTATAGTGAAATCTCACTGTGGTTTTGATTTGTGTTTCCCTAATAACAAATGCTGTTGGGCCTCCTTTCATGTGCCTGCTGGTTGTTCACATGTTTTCTTTGGAGAAATGTCTATTGAGGTCCTTTGCTCTTGTTTAAATTGGAGGTTGCTCATCTTTTCACTGCTGGAGTAGTAAGAGCTCTTTATAGATTCTGGATACCTTACCAGATGTATGATTTGCAAATATTTTCTCTCGCCCTGTAGGTTGTCTTCACTTTCTTGAATGAATGGAGAGTATTTTTTCCACCAACAGTTTCTATCATCACTCTTTTCAGAACATCTAATATTACAACACAGGCTTCCCTGGTGGCTCAGTGTTAAAGAATCTGCCTGCCAGTGCAGGTGACAGGGGTTTGATCCCCGGGTTGGGAAGATCTCCTGGAGAAGGAAATGGCAACCCACTCCAGTATTCTCGCCTGGAAAACCTATAGACAGAGGAGCCTGATGGGCTGCAGTCCACGGGGTTGCAAAGAGTTGGACAGCCTAAAGAACACATTGGTTACTCCTCATTCCTCTTACATAGGGAGAGACCTTGCCTTTTTTTGGTCCAGCTGTATCTCCATTGACCAGCACCCATAGTTGCTAACACTTCTTGAATAAGCAAATTCTCTGGAGTCTCTAAGAACCATATCATAGATGGAAAATTCAAACACTATGACACTGGCAAGTGATATAAATGAGTAAACCGAGATATTTACGGCTTCTGATAAAAGGGAGAGTACATATCCTATTTCCAGGTTAGTTTCTTCAGCTAGTCCTCACATAACAACCTCATTATCCTGTTCTACCTCTTCAGCCTTGTTCTACCCTGTTCTACCCTTGGAGTGAAAGGAGATCAAATCAGTCAATCCTAAAGGAAATCAGTCCTGAATGTTCACTGGAAGGACTGGTGCTGAAGCTGAAACTCCAAGACTTTGGCCACCTGATGGGAAGAACTGACTCCTTGGAAAAGACCCTGATGCTGGGAAAGACTGAAGGTGGGAGGAGAAGGGGACGACAGAGGATGAGATGGTTGAATGGCATCACCGACTTGATGGACACGAGTTTGAGTAAGCTCCAGGAGTTGGTGATGGACAGGGAAGCCTGGAGTGCTGCAGTCCATGGGCCTGCATGGACTCTTGGTCGGACAAGAGTCGGACACGATTGAGCGACATAACTGAACTGAACCTCTTCAAAACGGAATTTCTTCACGTCTCCCTAAAAGTATTGTGCCAGTCTCTAGTTCATTAGGGTAGCTGAGTTATGTCCAAGGTATACTACCAAAAGCAATACTAAGTCCCAGAATTCACCTTATTCCAGCACTGAGTCTGGGTATTTCCTCGCCGAGATATTGATAAAGAGTAGAAAAATCAGAGTTAACTCTGAGTTCTTCGGCAAGAGTGACTACTGCAGAGCCCTGATTCAGAAGCTACTTCTCAGCACAGGGCTGTCAAGCTGTACTCCGGCTGGCTTTAGTCCAGATTCAGTGGGAGAGTCGAAATGCGCCGCCGGCCGGCTTCTAGGAGAAGAGCGTTTATCTGCCTAGGAAAATCGTTCCTAAGACGGGCCTCCGAGGGCGCGCGGGCAGCCAGATGTCCTGGTGCCAGCGTGGACCGCGAGGGGACCAAGAGCCAAAGTCCGCTGAGAACCCGCATCTCAGCCCTCGAGGTTCCTAATGCACATCTCAAACGGCCACCCCCCTGGCAAAGGGACTCTGCGTGGCGGCGGGGAAACGTCCACAGGCCGGGTAAAGGCGTACTCGGCGACTGACGCGCCCAGTACCTCTAGACGCGCAGGCTGGAGACCAATTGTCACGGTAGAGACCCCGCAGGAGGGGCGGGGCGGAGTTGTTTCTCACAGCGCTTGCGCTTAGCGCGGGTTTCTAGAGGACAAGCTGCGGAGAGGAAACCAGCGCCGCGCGCCACCGAGGCCCACTGCTTGCGCAGGCGCACTCAGCCACCTCCCGCCTCTTGGAGAGCCCAGCACCTCCCGCAGAGCTCGGGGGCGGGGGGGCGGAGCTAAATGCTGGGGAAAAATCAACCTTTCTGTGGTCGCTCGTTGAGTCCGTGTCGCCACTGACTTCGACCTGCGGTAGTCATGTTGCCCAACACCGGGTAAGGGTAATTTGGCGCCGTGGGGGAGGAAACCGGGCCAGGCGGAGTGGCTAACTTGGGTGGCCCTGACCCGGCGGTGGGAGGATTAATGATACAGCTCGGAGTGATCTGGAACGCTGGTTGGCGCTGGATGCAGTATTCCTCTAACCTGCGGTAACTTGTGAAAAGTAGCGCAGAGGTGTGTACTTCAGGGTGGCAGTCGTGTTAAAATCTCATAGATAAAGGATCCGGAGTGAGGTATCCCGCCACCTCTAGGGCGAGTCCCAACTTTGGGTTTAGAGATAGAACTGCTTGTCTTGCTGGAGGCCGAGAGTTCTGGGTGAAAGGTCACCGGAACTTCGTGCTCTTAATGTCTTAATGAGTCCCCCACTTGTTCAGATCTCAATTTTGGAAGGAAAAAATAAGCTAACCTTTAAGGATGAGTGTCTTTTGAGGAGGCTTTTTTTTTTTTTTACTTTGAGATGATACTGAGTTTTGCTAAAATACACGTAAGGTTTGCGATCGTCACCATTTTTAAGTGTACAGTTAAGTAGTGTTAAGTATGTTTGGACTGTTGTGAAACCAGTTTCCAGAACTTTTTCGACTTGAGAAGCAAGCTCTGCACCCTCCCCCCATCCCACTCTATTTTCCGTTTATGTACTGTATGGATGTTTTGAGCTGAGTGATATGTTCGTTCTGAAGTTTGCTTGAAATATATAGGCGCATGGCCAAAAGACTTAAAAAGCTCTAAAGGTTGTTTCCTTATTCTTAACTTTCAATCCCCTACTTACTCTCTGGTGGGTTTCCAAAGATACTCTGTGTATTTATAAACATATTTGGGTACACAATCCTAAACACGTACAAACACACTCTACACTTTACAAAATAATAGCAAAGCCCCTTTTGGGTCTTGCTATTTTTACTTGTCATTTAATATGTCTTGGGACCCATTTTCAGTACATTTAGATCTTTCTCCCTTTCAATGTTCTATTTATTTAAACTATCCCCATCACTGGATACCAGATCATTTCTAGTTTTTTATTACTCCATCTTTGCTGCCATGATTATCCTTGTATTCACCTGTTTTGCACATATTTGAGTGTATTCACGTGATAAATTCTTGGCAATGAAGCTGCTGGAGCAAAGAGTGTAAGCATTTCAAGTTTGATAGCTAATACCAAAAGCCCTCCAAAGAGGTTGCACACTGAGAAGAATTAATGTGATTTCCTAACCCAACACATTGATAAACAGCAAAATGTCTGATAGTAAAAATACTTGTTTTGATAATAAAAATCTAATTAGAGGAAAAAATGGCACCTCATTATAGTTAAAATCTGCACCAAAGAGCGAGGAAGCAGATCTTTTTATATATTTAAAGCAGCAGTTCTTGTTGAGGAGTAATTTTGATAACCATGGGACATTAGGCAGTATCTGGGAACACATTGTCACAATTGAGTGGGGTGCTACTGGCATCTAATGGGGGGTCCGGGGATGCTGGCAAACATAAGGCACAGGAGAGCCCCCTACAGTAAAGAATTGTCTTGTCCGAAATGTCTATGGTGTAGAGATTGAGAAATCCTGGTTTAAAACCATCTGTGTATCTTTTCCTTTGCCTGGCTTACACAGTTAGGCTTTTGATTGATCTCTGAGATCTCTCTACTAAAAAGTAATTTGTTCTATATCATACATGTTAGAAATTTTTTCTCAGTGTTTTTTCATCGCATCTTGAATTTGATTATCCTATTTGTTTATCATGCAGAACCATGTGGTTTTATTGAATCAGAGTTATCAATGATAATCAAGTTATCTTTTAAGACTTTTGTGTTTTTGTGACAAAGCTATAAAAGGCCATCTTAAACAAAGATTTTTTTTAATTTGTTAAGTATTCTTCTGGAATTTTTGTGGGCTTTTTCTTCCTCCCTGACTCAGATTTCAGCATAGGAAGTGAGTTAGGAAACCCACTTCATTTTGGTTCAGATGGCCGGGTGTACAGTTGTTCCAGCACCATTGACTGACTAGTTATTTTTTCTTTCTGTTAGAAATTCCACCTCTGAATTCTTGTATGTATAGAGATCTTTTTTATTTTATTACTTTGGTCTATCTGTTCATGTACCAGTGCTAAATTATGTTAATTACTCTAATTTTATAAAGTGTTTTAGTATCTTAGAAGGCTAGTTCCTGCCTCATCTAGATTTTTTTTTTCAGAATTTTCTTTGTTACTTTCAGATGTTTATTTTTCTAAATGAACTTTAACTTGTATAGTGTTTTTTTGAAGTGATTGCTTTTTTAAATTTAAATAGTTAAAGATTCATCACATTTACCATGATTTTGATGTACTAGGGAATTTAGGAAAATTGTAGTGCTAACTCTGCATTAGCAAGTTTTAGTCATCTACCAGTAGTAATGATGAATTTGGAATCTTTTTGCTTTCTCACCTTCTACACTCTGGTTCTGATGCTTTAGAAATGGAGGTATAGACCCAGTGGTTTTCAGGTTAAGAGGAAAGTGGACTTTGCCCTTGCTTCTGCCAGTGCCTGAGACCTTGAGCGTGAAAATGCCCTTCATCCTACTGAGAATCAATCCCAAGTGGACCAAAGGCAAAGGAGTAGAACTTTTTTTTTCTTAAATTTATTTTATTAAAGTAGAGCTAATTTACAATGTTGTGTTAATTCCTGCTGTATGGCAAAGTGAGTCAATTATACATATATATGTACACACACACTAACATATATGTGTGTGTTAGTTGCTCAGTTGTATCTGACTCTTTGCAACCCCATAGACTGTAGCCCACCAGGCTCCTCTGTCCCTGGAATTCTCCACCTAAGAATACTGGAGTGTATTCAGTAACCATTCCCTTCTCCAGGGGATCTTCCCGACCCAGGGATTGAACCCAAGTATCCTGCATTGTAGATGGATTCTTTACCATCTGAGCCACCAGGGAAACCTGCAAACATATATATGTACATATATAAACTGATAGCTTATGGTGAACGATGTCGAATTCATGATCTCCGAAGAAGAAGAGTTAGCTTTGGGACCAGGGACCAGGCTTCATCACTCAAGAGCTTTTGTGTAGCGGAGTTTTGTTAAAGTAAGAAAAGAGACAGAGAAAGCTTCTGACATAGACATCAGAAGGCGTCGGAGAATGCTTCCCTTTGCTAGTGTTAGCAGGGGAGTTATATACTTTTTAAATTAGTTATTACAGTAAATCAAAAGAATGTCTCAAGGTTGTAAAATTTTTACCAGACCCACCCCCACAATTTACATTTTAGGATAATGGATTAGAATTTACCAACAGAAAGATCCTACCAGACCCACTCCCATAATATACATTCTAAAATATCAGGATTAATTAGAAGGTTTTCAGGAAGGAAGAGCTGTCCTCAAGCAGGATACGTTGTTGTTTTATAATCCCTAGTACAAAGTTGAAACTGAGTTGTTTGTTGTCTTATCAGTTCCGAGCTTAAAGGAAAATAAACCATTTTATGTGATTAAGACTAAGAAATGTAGAGAAAAAAAAGTTTGCCCTTTCCTCCTCCTCAAGAACCCCAGACCCCTCTCTCCTCCGGGACCCCCGGACTTCTTATCAATCTGCCTAGGAATTGACTCTCTCAAAACCATAATAGAAAAGGATATGAACATTCTTCTTCATATTCTTCTCCATTATGGTTTATCACAGGATATTGAATATAATTCCCTGTGCTACACAGTAGGACCTTGTTGTTTATCCTTCCTATATGTAATAGTTTGCATCTGCTGTGGATAGGGCTTTTTAAAGCAATAATTGGGACATTTTCATCTAAATACTTACATTTACAATGCAGCAGATCCTGGTTCAATTCCTGGGTCAGGAAGATATGCTGGAGAAAGGATAGACTACCCACTCCAGTATTCTTGGGCTTCCATTGTGGCTCAGCTGGTGAAGAATCTGCCCGCAATGTGGGAGACCTGGGTTCAATCCCTGGGTTGGGAAGATCCCCTGGAGAAGGGAAGGGAAAGGCCATGCACTCCAGTATTCTGGCCTGGAGAATTCCGTGGACTGTATATTCCATGAGGTCCCAAAGAATTGGACACAACTGAGCGACTTTCATTTTACAACCTGTCTTACAGAGTTCTTGACCTTTTTCTGTTAGAAAACCATTTCTTTATTAGAATCCCATTCTTGTCACAAAAACTGTTAAGACTTGGAATTTGTATTTATCATGTTTAATATGGACAGTTTAAAGATGTATATAACTTCAGTTAAGTTGCTCCATTGTGTCTGACTCTTTGCGATCCCATGAACCACAGTACACCAGGCCTCCCTGTCTATCACCAACTCCCAGAGTCCAATCAAACCCATGTCCATTGTGTCGGTGATGCCATTCAACCATCTCATCCTCTGTCGTCCCCTTCTCTTCCTGCCCTCAATCTTTCCCAGCATCAGGGTCTTTTCAAATGAGTCAGCTCTTGCATCAAGTGGCCAAAGTACTGGAGTTTCAGCTTCAACATCAGTCCTTCCAATGAACACCCAGGACTGATCTCCTTTAGAATGGACTAGTCAGATCTCCTTGCAGTCCAAGGGACTCTCAAGAGTCTTCTCCAACACCAGAGTTCAAAAGCATCAACTCTTCAGCACTCAGCTTTCTTTATAGTCCAACTCTCACATCCATACATGACCACTGGAAAAACCATAGCCTTGACTAGACGGACCTTTGTTGGCAAAGTAATGTCTCTGCTTTTTAATATGCTGTCTAGGTTGGTCATAACTTTCCTTCCAAGGAGTAAGCGTTTTTAAATTTCATGGCTGCAATCACCCTCCACAGTGATTTTGGAGCCCCAAAAAATAAAGTCAACCGTTTCCACTGTTTCCCCATCTGTTTGGCATGAAGTGATGGGACTGGATGCCATGATCTTAGTTTTCTGAATGTTGAGCTTTAAGCCAACTTTTTCACTCTCCTCTTTCACTTTCATCAAGAGGCTCTTTAGTTCTTCTTCACTTTCTGCCGTAAGAGTTGTGTCATCTGCGTATCTGAGGTTAT